TTGTGGCTTTTGAGTTTAATATTTTTAATATTTTTTAGTTTTTTTTAAATTAATAATATTTTTAATATAGTTTTAATTTTACTTAATTTTAGATCTTTGTTTGATATATTTAAAGTTGACGGGGAGAACGATCTCAGTGACGTTCTCATAATTTTTTAAGAAGTAAAAACTTATTTTGTTTAATTTAATAAAGTAACGTAAAAAAAACAAAAGCTTTGAAATTTTCCTTAAATAATAACCTACAATTATATTGCACTCTTAATTAAGATTCTTTGAGTGAAATTTGAGGTTTTAAGTCAAAAGGATGTTTGAAATGATGTTTACTTATAACAAAGTTAGTCATAGGGTCATTTAATATTTATTTTAGAAACAATTTTCTATACTTAAGCTATACTTTTAAGTATAGGTACTTTTATTAAGAGAAAAATATTTGTTTTGTCATCATATAACACTTAAACGTATTGAGATTTTTTCTATCAATTGTGCGCATTTTATTAAAAAAAATTTCATTAGTGACTCGATAACTCATTAACTCATTGATTTATTCTATTTTTTGTTAAAAGTTATGAAATAGTGATTTAATGATTTATGTATACTCAAAAATTGAATTAATTATGAATGTTGTGCCATAGTTGTTAATCGGAACAATACGGTCCAGTGCACACGAATAAAGTATGCACAATTTAACATTAATATAACTAAGCTGATATTTTATATGAATAATTTGTAAGAGTTTTTAAAAATACATTTTATTTGAAGTAATAAATGAAATTCATTTTCACGCAGTACGACACAATTTGTTGTGTCATTTTTTTTACTGGTGGCGTCCTGTCATTAGTGCAATTTGGTCATAACGACCCAAATTAAACCAACAAGTTTTGCTCGTAAGGCTTTTGATGAAAGGTTGCAAAAACATTTCATTTCCAATGTAACAATTATCACCACCCGATCTCATCCTAAGCTTGATGATGTCATCCCCACATCGTTGACATCATGACCGTCGGATAGGTTTGTATGCACGTTTAATGAAATAACTTCGGTACCCGTTGTCCTTTTAATATTAAACACTTCACACTTTAAGTATTAGAATATTTCCGCATCTGATTATTTGATATCCTTTCACCAACTGTACTTTCGATATGACCCAACAATTTAATTATTGTTTGAACTTTATACTATTAAAAACTTGACATGACTTGATCGTACAATATACAAATATTATTTGACATTTTCAACGACATTAGGTATAGTATTAGTTCTTCTACCCCACTACAATGTAATATATTAATAATAGTTTATGTTTTTTTAAATACTTTTATTTAGTAAGTGACGTTTGAAGTAATATATTTGTGTTTTATTTAAATATACAAGTGGATAATAAATATGTTTAATATATTATACATATCGAGCAACTAAGAGTAGTGATAGATCTTTGATAGTATACTATTAACTTTAAAATATAAAATTTATATTTATTTTAAAATAATTATATAAAAATGAATTAAAGAATGCGTTGTATGAAAGAAAATTGGGAAAAATAATGCAATACAAATACCGGCTATGTATTAAATGATGCGTCTAAAATAACTACAGGAGTTAATTTTATACATTTTTCCAATTTTTATACTTAAAAACGTATTCATTAAAAATTTTGCTTCTTACTTACTTTTTCTTCCAATGTAATTTCCAAACTAAGTTCCATTTTTATTGTAATCATTTTTTTTATATTATATACATTTTAATATAGAAAAATAAAATTAGAAATAATCGTCGATATCAAGAAAAGTTTTTAATAATAAGTATTGATAGACATTTACATAAGAAAACCAATTTTTCCGGACACTACCAATAGTAAATTCAAAAGTTCTATTTCCTAGAAATACATTTGATACTATTAAAAAAAATTAATTATTGTTATGGTTCATCGTTAAATTATCTTAACAAATAATATCTGAACTACTTGAAAAATAAACAGAATTATTATTATAATTATAACTATTTAATACTTAATAAATAAAAGATAGTAATAATTAAAAAAAAAAATATTAAATAAATTTCATGTTATTCATGTACACTTATTAAAAATATATGTTTATGAAAAATAAATTTCACTCGAAAAAGTATCATCAATAAATAAAAAATGTTTTAAAAAGAAAAAAAAATTCAAATTTCAAATAACGTTTACCTAATAAAAAAGTGGATTGTTATTCCATTTTAATTAATTATTTATTTGTAGACACTAGAATTTCTATTCAAAATCTAAAAAATGTACTTTTGTCGGTATTCCTGATGGCACTATCAGTCCGAAATTGGAAATAAAAAATACTGTCTACAACACCTCTTTTTATTACAAGGAAAACATTTTAGCATTCAGCTACAAAACTACTAGAAGTGTTTTAAGAAGTCTCAATTCTGTAGTATTTTATTTTCAACACAAATTGCTAAAATTTACATTTTATTTATTTTGTAATAAAGCTTTTAGTAGTTTTCTTCCAATGTTTTTTTTACTAACATTGTTTATATATACATACAATTTAGATTACTTTTACTGGATGAACGTGTTCTTTTAATTTTAATGTTTAATGACGTATGTGAATTAAATGAATAAAGCAACAATTTGATTAAGTAGTGAATTAATTATTTTTAAAACTTTTAAGGACTCATATACGAAAGAATTATTTTAAGTCATGGTTTTACACTTTGAAGATTTATAGTATTAATCGTAAATCGTTCAGTTATTAATAACATTGATAAAAAACAAAAAAATATATACTTTGATTATAATAAATCATAAAAACCTTTTGAAGGATTTTATAATAACAATTACCTTTTTATACTATAAAATCAAACGATTTCTATCTCTCAAAAAATGATTGAACAATAATGTGTAACATGCACTTATTGTACATCTTTAATGTAGATTTATTTAATTATTTAATTTTTTTTTTTAATCAAGAAAACATTATATTAATTTCGCATTGAAATATATACTCATTAAAAATAATCAATTTTTAATAACTGTTTCTTTAATAAGCCATCTATAAATAAGTTTTATAAAAGAAATTACTATGTACAATATGACGTTTTAAATAATTTAAATTTATATTACAGAAAACTCATTTGAGATACTATTATGATTACACATGATTGTTTAAAAAACTTATTTTTGCTATTGGAAAATAATTATTATCAACAGCCGTGTTGCTCTTGGCCAGGGTCTTGTTTTGAAATTTGAATTATTGTATGAACAGCTGGGATATCTAAATTGTTAGACACTGCTGAAGTCGTCGTGCCGCTGCTGACGCAAGAAAAGGACCTAACGTTATTTGAACCCGGTAACCACGGCATAAGTTCCTTTGGATCCAAATTATCACTGAAAAATATTTTATGCGTAAATACATAGAAGCAACTTATGAATGAATTATTTATAACTTTTTATTGGAACTTGTTACTCGAAGTAATAATAGGAATTATTTACGGGGAAATGTTTGTTTTGAATAAGTATTATTTCTTATGAAAACAAAAATACACCACTTAAAAGTAGTTAAAAATGTACAAGATTTTATGTTGAAATGACAGTTGAAAAATCAAAACTTGGTTCACATTTTTGTTTATTGTACGAATTTAGCGTATTTAAAGGTGAAAATAACTTTTATATTCTATTAAACTCTGTTTATATATACATACCAGATATTGGCTTTTTTCATTGACGCCCAAGTACGTCCATATTTCTTTCGCGAAGTAATAAAACTTCTTTTTGTTTTCCACCTTAGCATATGATATTTAAGAGTATTTTGAACCTCGTGATTAAAAAAACAATACAATAAAGAGACAGTAAAACCCTGAAATAGGATAGAAAATATTAGTTAATTTTGTCATTTACAATTTTACGGGTCCAATATTTTTAATAGCGTCGTGCACACCTGGGTACTAATTATAACGGCTTTGCTGAATTTGTAAATATTAACCAAAACTCCAGGTGAGCTTAATTTTATTATGTCCAAGCAAAAAGTGATACCCAGTAATGGTATAAGAACCAATAAGGCTTTAGCTGCTTTTTTATAATTATAAGTTTCCGCGGAGCTTTTTGATCGTAATTTTGTTATGAGAACCTGATAAAAAATAAGAAGAGTCAAGTAAATACTCGGACATTATCTAAAAAAAATAATTTCACTCTTGAATTGCCATCATCTTACAGAACTTTGGTAGGCAAACATTATAATTAAAAAAATGTTTTAACGAATGACTAAACCATACTTAAAGGTCTGTAAGAAGAAGGAAATTCGAAAGTCAAATTATTTTTCTAGACGATATCCGAATATTTAAGTGAATCACTGTATATATAAATGTGTGCAAATAAATAAATCAGCTATAATAACTGAGATTAATAGAATGTATGTGTCTGATTATTGACACACTAGGGGAGCAAAGCTTGCAAACGGTGGTTTTTATGGGTAAGAAAGTGTAAAAGTAAAACAATGAAAAAATTAAAAACATAGTTTTTAATTAAATATGTATATAAATATAAATTGAATTGTGTAGAGTTTCGAACTACGTTTTTATTATAAATATATTAGATATTTTTAATGATAAAATCCAGTTTCATTAACACTAAAAAGCAGTTGGTGGTCAATTCGACTAAGTTTTTTTTAATCTAATCAATAACAAGCCGAATATGTTTCACACCAAAGAATTTCAAGATTAGTTTCAATGCAATGGTTGATGTAATTTCCAAATTGAATGTGCTCTTTGAATAAATATATACTGTTTTCAACAACGTTTGAAAACAACAATTAAATAGTCTTTAATACGTTCTCTCGTTATTTTGTTAGCGATGTATTAAAAGTGTTATAGAGTAGTTTCTTTTTTATGTTCATATAAATGCAATTTATTCGTCAATATGTTAACTGATTCGAAATCATTTATAATTATGTTAATGTAGAAGGTTCGATCGTTAAAGTTTTTTGCTTATTCTGCAATTTGATAAGTTTCCGTTGGGTAAACCTTACTAAACCTAACCCAAATAGCTATTTGTTCATTTATTGTTTTATCTAAATGGGTGAATATGGAAGTATTTTTAAAATTTCCTATAACCATTGCTGCATTAAGCACTCATTTCTAGTGTTTTTACTTAGCTAGCTTTGAGTTACCAACATAAAAATGTTCAAATGCTTCTTGTTCATTTTCAGTATTAAATGTTGAAATTTTCTGTCTCTTTACTTGCTAATTCAAACGATAAATCGTTTGCTGTTTGTAATGCATAATTGATCTTTCAATTAAGTGTAAATTTATTAATTATTTTGTTGATATTTAACTGGATAAAAACATTTCATTGTGTAAATATTTGTAACCAGCTAAATTTTGACGCGCATGTGCATAAATTTGTATATCAGATGCTTGTGACGTGATGTGTTTTTTTGTTAAGTACCCATTTAAAACTCCGTTGAGAAACTTTGCTTCATTAAATTTAAGATAAAACTCATACATTCATAATAAGAATAAGGAACGTAATGTTAGCTAGTAAAACAGAGGCAACCGGCGCTTGAAAAATCAAATCATCTGCTGAATCCGCCATCAGAGGACAATACATTTCATATGTAATTTGGTTGATGATATCTAACTAAAAAATAATATCAAATAAACACAATTTTATTTAGGACAATATTCTCTAATAATAATGAAATAAACTCACGTCGGTTTTCATAGGCCTCATCAATTTCGTGACACACCACGTAGGAATAATTATAAGAGGTATTCCTGAAAAATATTAAGGAAATGATTTACCTTTTACATGTACGTGTAAAAAAATCTGTTATTCATTCTCAAGGTTATCAGTGTTGTAAGTTAGAAAATATCATACATTCTCGATTCTTGTAGAGACGCATTAATTTCAACTCAGTACATATATACTTTTTTTATCAATCTCAAGACAAAACCTTATGAAAAAAAGTATAACATGTTTTGATGATCCATACATTACATGGTTTCAACAAAATGGGTAAAAACGGTATATCTAAATAGCGATGCGCTGTCACGGTGTAGCCTTTCTTTTCCACCCAACTACTCAATGCCAAACTACACCCTCAACGAGTCTCTAGAGACCGTGTTCGTCTCAATATATGCGGGTTTATATTTTCGTACACAATCAATACAGTTATTACATCGAACTGTAATGGCGGTATACAGGATGATCCGTTTATCATAAACTCAATTATTCTCAAAATAAATACAATACTGAAAAATAAAAAGTTTTGATTTTATTTATTTAAATATACTTTTTGATTTATCAGCTATTAATTATTTTTTAACATCACCACTATAAGTTATATGAGTGTCAACTCTGTTCTTTTTAAAAAAAACGTTATAACATACATATTTAATTAGCTTTTAAAGTAGAAAATGATAGATCAACAAAAATGATTGGACCAGTCTTTCAGAATTTTTGATGATTTGATAATTTATACTGGGGAAGAGGCGCAAGTTTCTTATTCACGTATAAAAATATAAAAACTTCTGAAGTACTGGTCCAAAAGTTGTTATCGACTCGTCATTTCCTTGAAAAAATAATTTCCTATTTTATAAGTTAGTTAAAAATTTATGTTATCATTCAAAAAAATTGAGTTGTAATTCCTGTTGGTAATAAGGAATGATGCTAAAAAGTAAATAATAGCTGATAAATTAAAAAATACTAAAAAACCAAACAAAGTTGATTATTTTGAAAGTAATTGAGTGGTTTATGATAAATTGATCACTCTGTATATACAGGTAAGAGTATACCAAACCAAAAACCACTTCATACATTAGAGTTGTCGCCATGGTAATAGCAAACTATTAAATGAATCTAATAAGTCTCCAAAATTAATATTCTCAAAGCGACAGTTTTGGAACAATAAAAAGTAACATTGAACAAATGTTTATAATGGAAGGCCAATATTTTATGTCCTATCACGCATATAGGATTCACTTCATTTTAATTAAAATTAATCTTTAATATTAGATCTATCTTACTATAATCTTTAAATAAGTACTTCCTTATTAAAAAAAATGTATATTTATTCCTTAGCTGTAAGTATGTTTTAACAAGTATAATTTTTTATTGGATACGGCAATAACAGAATATATAATTAAAATCCAGACAATAGTTTCAAATAACTCGTATAATTTCAAAAATAAGACACACATTAAATATTATGAGGTCACTAACGCTCAAAAATTAGAGTAGTATTTTCAAAGTCAAATGCTATCACTGCATTCAAATTTTAGTAGTCACATAGAAATGAACACAACATTCTCATTCGCATCAGTAAATTTAATGCACCTTATTTTTACACAGATTTGAATTTAATGATAGGTAAATCATTTTATAATTGCTTACAAGCAATCGACGTGATCGATTCAAGGACTTGATGTTTCCTGTAGCCATAACACGAACAAAGATATGTAGTAAACGAGTTTATTTTTTAACATATATTGTGACGATTTATTTTACTAAAATAATTTATTTTGTAAACTTATATAAATATTTGTGTTATTTCTATCTACAATTTTTTATATTTGTCTAAATAATTTGTTTTTTGACTTAAGTAAAATTTACTGGTTTTATATTGTAACTACGTATTGTTATAGAATAGCACTAATATCTTATTTCACCGAAATCAAGGTTAGGGTTAGGGTGTCAAAACCCATCCCTAAAAATGTATTGAATTTTTGAATTAGATTCGTTTTTGGCACTGTTTCCTGCTCAATAAGTTCATTTCAGGTATTTTTTTTTTTTTAATAATATTACAATCAAGAAAAATTTCTGGTTTGGTTACTGTTTATATTAGCTGGTAATCATATTATATCATTTGATTTTTTATTTGGCTAAAAAAATCTCAAAATACTTATATATACAGGGTGTTCAGTAAGAAAGTAAGGAATCAGGTTAGTTGTTACAAACAATGAGAACGTAAGTAAAAAGAAAACTGGTTTTTATTGTTCTCATTGTTTGTAACAACTGACCTGTTTCTTTACTTACTGAACACTCTATATATTATTAAATATGTTCTAAACTTAAAAAAAAGTAAATATCTTTTATTAGTCATATTAATGATTATATATACTAGTATTTATATTCAAAGTTCTTATAAATATATAAAAACGGTAGCATAGTGGGTTCGCAGCACAATGTGGACGTGTTATAATGGAACAAGTATAGATAATATCTGACAGTGATTAAAATCATTATCATTAGAAACGCTTTAATGCAAATCTGTAGATAGTGTTTAATTTTATGAAATTGATGGATTATTCCAAAAGCAACACGGTCTCCTATTTCCTTATTTATATCTTGATTAGACGTTTTATGATATATAAGTGTAATTAATGAATAAATATTTAATAAATTTTTTCAACTTCGATGGCCATTTGCACATAGTATAAGCTTTAATTTAACATATGTTTAAAGGACACCGTATTTCCGAAACATTTTCAAAAGTTAAGTTGAAAAAATTGACTTTTGTCAAAAATTTGCTATTTTGAATTCAACCCACGGGGGCAGATTAGAAGTAAATAGAAATATCTAAAGTTTTTATATAAAAAAAATTATAATTATTTGTTCATTTTTAAAAATATTTGTGGCAGTTATTTAAAAAAATGTCAAAATTTATCAATTTTAAAAATTGTTATTTTTTTTGGAGATTTTCCCACTTACAGGGAACGAGGGAAATTTTTTCAATTTTTAATGGAAATGTCTTCAACTAAATACGATTTGTGATATTTTACGTAATGTTAAAAGGAGTGGCTCCGGTGAGAGCTGAGGAAAAGTGGCGACACAAAAACAAATAAAAATGAACATATCATAGTAAAATAACCTTCTAAGCTTCTCATAAAGCTAAAAAAAATTAAGTAACACTATAAAACGAGTATTTATTAGAAATATCTTAAAGTTTTAAAAATAAGTCTTTCCAAAACAAATGATATTCTTTTTAATAATATTGGTATGTAACTTTTTATTATACATGTATTATTGATAACATTTTTTTTATACAAATTTTTAGTATATAAAATTTATCTTTTAAATATCTTAAAAATATTTTTTTTAATACGTTTGATCCTATGAATTACTTTATTTTTCATTTACAAATTTGATTGACAACACTAAAATAAAAATTAACTTTGTTTCAATAAAATAGTGAAATATCCAATATAATAAATGAACTGCAGTATAGATATATACATGCTGTTGTATAGAAAACTTGTTTTCTAATTTTTTCCAGTTAAATTTATTTTTAAACCATTGACCTCTTATCGCCACCGTGAGGTGACAATGAGAGGTCAACAGTTAATTTTTAATTCACATAGTTATTTACCAAATAAAAATGATTTTACACGTGGTAGAAAATTTGTTATATACAATTGAACACTTCTTCCTTAAAGGGCTCATTGTCTACATGAACCATTTATAATTATTATAAGTGATTTAGTACTGTTCATAAATTTTAAATGTAAGTTAACAAAATAATCAGTATATGTATGGTAAGCTAAAAAATAAGATTTATTTTTGGACTTTTGGAAGTAGGAGAAGGTAGGACAAGTTGACAACTCAAACTTAATTGAATCTCCTTATAAAAGTATTCAACCCAGACATGAGGCAAGATGATATTTTTTTGTAATGAGGTAATTTGACATATCTTTGCTTAATTTAACTCGTGTTCAAAATGTATTATATATGTAATATTATTATTCCCTAATTAATAGGGGAGTCACCTCCTGTCCCCTTATGAAATTTAAGATGTATTATATATTTTCGTAATTGATCTATCAAACTTGTAAAAAAAAAAATGAAGTGTAAAATTATTAAAAAGGGGAAATCGACCTTATGACTCCCTTAGGTATCCTTATAATTACATATTGATTTTATTTGTAACATTTTTCTTTGACTATATCAATNAAGTGTAAAATTATTAAAAAGGGGAAATCGACCTTATGACTCCCTTAGGTATCCTTATAATTACATATTGATTTTATTTGTAAAATTTTTCTTTGACTATATCAATAAAAAAATTTGAGTTCATTTATTCATGCTCAAGTTAAAACCTTACTCCGTAAAACAAAAATATTAAATCGTTTTTTTCAAAAAATGTATAATTGTACCTTGTTTGAAATCATGCTAGTCCAATTTAAAACAACCAAATGATTTCTTTTAAAATATTTTTAAATAATTTATCATAATGTTGATATATTTTCATAAAAAGTTCGCAACTCAATTCTATATTTTTTAAATCTAAAATAATCATCTTGCCTTAAGCGTCAACTTGGCCTACTCTTCCATATAACTTCTCTAATATTTCAGTAATATACAATGTTTTTGTGTAAATTTATTTAAATATATAAGGATTTTTTTACAAATTAATTTTCTTCGAATAAATAATTTAAAAATGTAAGATGTGTTAAAGAAGAGATACTTTTAATTAACATTTGTTAACTGTAATAGCAACATATTGAAAATTGAAAATAAGAATAGCCTATTGTTTTAAATAATTGATTGATTTGTTAATTATTTTATGATTAATTACATAACCAGTTAAGTTTTGTCAAATAACAATTAAAATTAAAAACAATTAACAGTTTAATTACCATTTGATGTTATTGTAGTATTGTATAGTATAGATTTTAAATTACTTCATTGTTGTGTAACAGCTATTTTTTAAAAATATGCTGGATTAATGTTGAGTTTGTATTCATTCAAGCAGACATTTCATTTTATCTTAGAACTCAGGCGCTATGTACTGAAAATCGTAGCCAACTTGAAGAAATTCTATTTACATCAATTTCTTTTAGACAACAAATTACTTCCCAACCGAATTTTTCTTGTTAATAACATACTGAAGATAGACGTTAACATCATAGTTACTAGGCCGTATTACCAAGACATCTTTTATAATAAAGAAAGTAAACGTGGAAGAATATCTAACAAATAGTATTTTGTAGGGCTGAAAGTGATTGAAATTTACATACTAGTAAGCGATATAAAAAACCAACGGTTTTTTTTGTTATTACCAGTAAACAAATTTTCCTTTTTAATGGCTTAAAAATAATGGTTATCACACTTAACCGCTTAAAATTGGTTGTTTAATTAATTATCATATAAATCAATAATTTTAAATACATTTTCAACACACTAAAATAGATAGACGTTTATTATATCATTAATTATAAATCAATGTGTAAATATGTAATCATCTTCTTATTAACCATTAACGTAAAATGATAAGTGAACAACATGATGAGTGGTAGTATTTAATTGAATTTTTTTTCAAGCAATTATTGATTTAGATTTTCAATATATCAACTATTGTTAATATATAGGAGATATTATGAGAATTACAAAAATGATATTGTTTAGATTGAAATGTTGTCAGGAATTAATATGAATTACTCTTAACAGTAAATTTATGAAAACAGCTCAATGTCTCGTTAGAATCACAATTTTTTTTCATTTATATCTTAATAAATAATTAATTGTAATAGAAATAATAGTAGTAATTTCTATGTAATTATTTGTATTTAAAAATATGTTGCAATTAAAATATTCATATATTAAATAATTTTTTAACTATTCAAAATTTTAGAAAATATTAAAATTAATGTAATACTATCACAATATATTCTACTTGTTACGAAATATTAGAATAATTATTGAGCATATTTTTAAATTAAAATATACTTGTTAATTATTTCTATATAACCTAAATACAGTGGCGTAGCCAAAGGGGGGGAAATTATATAGCCCCCGCCATTAGTCAATTAATACTATTTATAGTATATAAATTTAGCGTTAGTATGCAATCTAACAAAACAAAAAAAGATCTTTAGTCCTCCCCAGGCCAAAAATCCTGGGTATGACACTTTCGAATAATCAAACATAAATATAATTAAATTTAAACAAATGTAAAACTTTTCCAATGGATATAGCAAAGTTTTAAAATAGAAAAATTGTATTATTATTTTAATCTCTGATGTATTGTTGAATTTTATCTTAACTTATATAATTTCAGTTATTTTTTAATAATTAAAATATTAACGAAGATTTGGAAATTTTAATTGTAGAATCTATCAAACCACCAACAGTTATATAGAATTGACGATGGTTTATCAATAAGATTTAAAATAGTGGTTTTAAGGAAATTATGAACTTTCCTCGTCAATTTTTTGTGAATAGTAATTGTTATGTTACCTGACCACATACCAATCTAAATAATGCCGTTTTTAATAACAATTTTACATTTTATAGCCAATAAAAAAAATTGGTATAGTAAAGTATATTTTCGACTATAATTCCTGTAGACCTATGTTGTTAACCAATTACTCTATGCTTCTAGTTAAGAAACTCTAGTTGTTAATAAAGAAGTCTAAAAAATTTTATCATTAAATATAACAATAATTGTTATATACATCGAATAACTGAATAAATCGTGTTTTTTACTAAAATCATAAATATTACCGTTCGATAAATATTGAATCTCGATGTATCGACTAATTGAAATAAGATTATTTTTTATTTTACTATTTTCTAATACCGGTATACTTCAATATATAATATATTTCCAGCCCTAGTATTATGTTCAAAAACTCATGAATAGTATGTAAGTCATTTCAGTTATTTAAACAAAAAAAATTTGAACAGAACTATATGATGTGACCAATAATATGCATTACATATTTTTATAAACTAAGTGAATAATAAATATATCTAAACTCATATCTTTAATTTTAGAATGGAAAAAATTTTAGACTAAAATGGCAATAATAATGTCATAAATTGCTGCTGACTCAATATAAATATTATGATGGTATTTTAAGAATTTTCTATATTACTGGTACAATTATTTCAATGTAATATCTATAAAAAGTACTTTATATAAATTCATTATCAATGAGTAATCATTTTATACGTTTAATTTTAATGTAAAATATTTAATAAAGCAATAGTACCTATAGATTAACAAACATAATATAAAATGTGATTTTAGGTGCATTGACAAAAATTTTCCATTTAAAAGTACTATGTTAAAACTTTGTTCATAATTCATAATATTAGAATTTTAAGAAAAAGTATATATTTATTTCAATAGAATTTCTTTCCAATACCAGTATTGTGTTAAAGGTAACCAAGTTTACAAGGATTATTCCCCAGGTGATCATTCATAACAACAAAAACATTCAGCAACCATAAATAGCAATTGAGTTTCACAATTTTCGGTGTAAAATTCGTCCAGGTCATTACTAAAGGGTTGAAACTCAAGTTTATGAAACAGTGAAACATTACGTTTAATATTTAATATTTTACAATTATAATATTCTTTGTGGCTTTTGAATAGCTATAACTACTAATCATTATGATTTCTTTTAAAACAGAATTATTTTCTTCGAAATTTGCACGAAGATAAATTATTAACATTATTTTTAAACAAAAATGTTAAAGAAGCAAAAACTTCTTTAGGACTAATTTTGGTACTTAATCAAATGCCATAATGATAACAATAATAGTATTGTAACTTTATCTTTATGAAAAATGTTTTGTATTCAGAACTTAATTGAATATTTGTATTGTCCATTAACTTTATACATTATTTCTGTAAAACTAATGTTTTTATCAATAAAAATATATTATACTAACGAATTCAATATTTTTTTTTTAGAATTAAACTATGATTTTAATGGAAATCAATGACTTAAATATTAGTAGAAAAGTACCTATAAAGTAACTGTTTCAATGAATTTAAATATCATTCAACTATTGAATTTAATGTTTTTTTAAACATTTATTTAATAGAAAATATCTATAACTTCGTATTTAATCTTCGTTTGTAAAACTTTTTAGCCGCTTTTTATCTTTATTAAAAAAAAATAACCCATTCAATAATTTATTTAAGCTATGCCAAAAATGGTCAACAAAAAATATTAAAAATGTTACTGCATGAAAAAAGATATCTATTTTTACTGTTATCCAACATTAAAGGCTTAGTCTCCAACATAAAACTAATGTATTTTATCATGAAAAAGCTTTTGATAAATATTTGACATTCAAAGTTCAAAATAAAGATAACTAACGTTTTCCTTTTATTTAATAGTATTCTATATTTTTCTCACCTTCTCAAGGTCTAAAATTAAACCTAGAATAGTTAAAATTATTATCAACTCATTCGTTATTTCTTCTTTTAATTTAGTGTCGTTATATGACTTTTATTCGAAACGATAATAATTTTTTTAGAAAACTTATGTCATTATGAAAAGAGACACTACTATTAATTATTCTACGTTAATAAATATGTTTCATTTGTACAGTATGACATATTGTTTATTTAATAAATACAAATAATCTATTAATCTTCATTGAGGCTATAACATTCAATAAAAGTTTTTAACGTCAATAAAATGTTTATATCGAAAATAATGATATTCTAAACAGTGTTTATAGACCGTTTCTATTATTTACTACTCAGCTACATAATAAAAAAACATATAGCTTGTCAGAAAAAATGAATCGCGTTTAACGTGAATAAAGAAAACTTTGGTAGCTTTAAATAAAACTTTCGATTTATAAATAATAATCGATAAATTGACTATTACACCTCGTTAGTGTAATGTCAAATCACCTCTGAGTACATTTCATTTTTTCGTTTTGTGGTTAATGGCGTCAACTCGGCCGGACGATAAAATCCAACTGTATGATATAAAATTTAATGATAACGGACGTGATGTAGACATCAGTCGAGGTACTTTTTGATAAAACCGTGTGTTGGTTAAAAGCCATAAAATGATAAAAACCAGGCATAACGTTTTGTCCGGATTTCCGAGACAATGCACCTGAGATAGTTGGACGTTTACCAAAAGTAAGTACAAGGATGTATCCGAGTAGCTTGTAATGTCCTTCAAAACGAGTGTAGAGACACAACAAAGAAGTGTAAAACATAAACGAATAGATTTTTTCTAGTACCTCAATAAAGAAAACGTTCGTTTCTCAGAAAACTTCCGAAAAAAATCTTTCCAACTCAACATTATAAAACTGCGCATTAAGTTAGAAAAAAAGCTCTGTGGATAATTTATTGGTCTCTGTAAAGTTTCTGATTCAACAATCATTTTGCTATGTGTCAGCTTCTCATTAATATTTTGTTATAAAGTATAAGTTAATAAACATTAGTATCATAGAATTTTCAATTTTTTAAACTAATTATTATTATTGTAACAATGTATTAAAAAAAAAACATCATATTGGTGAAAGTTATTGTTTAGTATTTGAACTTGTTAGCTTTTGTTATGTGCATAACTGTTTTTTCTAATATTACCATAATTTTTATTCGTTTGTAAAAGTCAAGTTTATAAAAAAAAATCACTAAAGTTTTCCAAAAAAGAAAAACTTACACGCTTAGTAATAGTTTTTTATACGTATTTCAACATCTAACAAACCTCGTACTACCATGGAAACATTGAAAAACAAAGTATATATGTATATATACAAATTTTAGATTATTCACTAGAAAAAAAAACTCAAGCATCTCTTTTTTCCCTAAATTTAGTTTAAAAGAATAACTAAAACTTAACAATTTTTCTTTTAAAACTTGAACTATTTACCATTAAATATTCAATTTTTTTTTTTTTTTTGATTTGTATATTTAAGTATACGATTTAAAGTACATGATATAATGTCTGGTACAAACTTACCCCATCCAATCGCCATGTATGTTCGCAACCGTAACCGATCTGGGAAAAAAGTATCTACCACCAAAATGAACAGATACATCCCTGAAAATGTAATCACTTTGTGAAATTAAACTGGCTTAATGTTTAAATATAAACGAACGGGATAAACGATCTTTTTCAGAACAAGTAGATTATGTGCTTAATGATTACCTACACTATTATCTCAACTAGATTGCTTTTAAAACGTCTTTGTTTGATTTTTGAACAATAATTAAGTAACGAACCAACTGAATTAAACACCATTACAAGTAGGTAGATCTTGATAAAAAAAGTTATACTATTTCAAAATTGAATATAAGGACTTGAAATCAAAAAGATTATTTTGTACAACAGGGATTGAAAACGTTAATTAAAAATATCATATTTTATTCAATAAATTCAACAATTTTGACTATGGTTGAATTTTTTTTTAATAAACATACCGTTTAAATAGTTTTCAAACATCAATGTGCTACAAAAATTGTTAAATTATATTATAGATTTTGAAACGATACTTTCGTTTTGTTCTAGAATAAAAATAAAATATCATTCCAAAACCTGTAAATCAATAAAAAATTAATTAAAATTTATGATCTTTTTGATACGCTTTAGAATGCCTATTATATTGTAATATCTAAACATAGTACTAAAATAATCGAAATTAATGTTTATATTGAGCACAATGTAATTTTAGAAAAAATTATGTTTTCAAATTCTCCTAAATAGTACTTTTATTTAATAATTTTTAAAATACGGTAAGTGTTTCTATTATTTTACCAAGTAAAATAAATACCATTTAAAGGTGATAAACAATTATAATAATTTTTTGCGTTGTTATTCAGTTTACGTCTTTAATATTAATTTAAATGTTAAGAATACTTTGAATTATTTACCTTCAATAAAAGCCCAAAAGTAATTTGTTACAGTAAAATAATAAAGAGGTAGTGCTACCAAAATGCATCCAAATACATCTGTATTAAATAGAATCTGAAAATGAAATAATTTAATAAATTAAAATTAAAAGAAAGCTATTTATATACATAATAATACCATCGTAGAATCGTGTGCAGAGAGTACCCCAACCCTTCCCACACAATATAATATTAAATTTTGCCCCTCTCAATGTACGTAGTCCGGGTATTGTGTACCTTGCACGCCCAGCACATCTGGTTTTTGAAGCTTTGGTTATATTTATATATAAATTTTAATCAATATAATTTTCCAGCAATAAGAATGAATAACCAAAATTATTTTATTATGCAATTAATGAAAAAATTATTTATTTCATAAAAAATTTTCTTGAAAATAAATAAGACTTCTCAAATATATAATTATATAAATGAAATACAAAGTGAATAAATATGAGTTATTTAAGATAAAATTTCGGTATGATGGTTGAAATCGAGTGCACCTGTGACAAATGATCAATATTTTATGCTATACAGAAAATTATCAATAGATAATTAGTCAAAAATCACTTATCTTAAACGAGCAATAACAGTAGAACGATTTATCGGATAAAAATAATCATAAGTACGATATTATCTAAAATTGTTTTTCTATCTCATATCATCAATCTAAAATTAAGGGATTTTAAAATTAAAGAAAAAAATAAAGTTAAATTTTAAATGAAAAAAATATTTAACTACAAATTATTGTAATGTTTTATGAATCTAATAATATTTTCCTTTATGTAAAATTATAATTTACTAAAATTTCTAAGAAAATGAGTGTCTTATTCTTAATAATGAATTATCCTGTATATAGAACAATTCATTTTTCAAAATTAATTTTATTTACACTTACTGTATAATTAACTATCCACATGATGGCAGCTAGTAAGTACGATGCCATTAAATTCATATGTATTTTGTTCCGTAAGCATTTTAGTTCTCTGGAATATTTAATTTTATTAAACATAAAATGGAAATAAGTCATGGAATATATGCTAATCAGTTTTGACCACTTACTTAAATCTATAAAACACGGTAATAGCCAATGTAGTCATTACTAATGACAAACAATAGCCAGCAATGTATAGGTAAATGATAGTGTCTACCGTGCCCTCTTCGTCGTCTGCCGGCACTACTGGCAATAATATCTCGCATTGTGAGAAATCAGTTAAGCCCCAAGTTCCATTATCGAAGCAAATCCGACTAGCGTTTTCTAGTAACAGATAAATTCAATCAATTACTAAAAAATTAAGCTTATTTTACTTGAAAAATTAGAAAATTTACTTTATCATTTTTTAAGGAAACGGGATAAACACATAAGAGCAACTCGGCAGGGACTTAGCTCTTCAAATAAAGAATTAATTGCTCTAAAAATTTATTAAGATTTTGTTTTAAAATAATGTTAGGGTAGGGAAATAATTAATATAACGCCCCTCAAAAACAATCAAGTTGATACGTTATTAAAGAGAAAATATTTCCATTGTCACGTCATTGTAAAGATTAATAAGCTTGATCAAGTTGAATAATAAATGCTTACATAGTTTATTTTAGATTACTGAAGTTAATTAAGTGTGCTATACTAACTATATAATACATTATAAGGTAAATTGCATGTAAATTGACATTTATACATATATAAAAAATAACTGACAGAATACCCATTTTATTATTAAGTTCAAGTTTAAGATTTGAATGCATAAGTACATACTATAAGGGGTATTATTTGTGATCATAGAGTTGTCGGGGTTACTATCCCTAGAGAAGTTGCCCTTATTATATCCAACTTCTACGAAATTTGGGCTATTTGTTATGAATTATGAGTTAGTTTAAGGACTGCGTCTCTTAAATTTATCTCTTTGCATGCCAATGATATACATGGACTAAAGCCAATATGGGCCCCGGGATCTCTTGCAGTCTAAGCCAAACCAAGGTTATCTCAAGATTATCTCTATAATCGTTATTAAAAAAAAAATGAAGAAAGATGTAATATATTTCAGAAATTCAAGAAAATATTTCTGTAAAATAGTAAATATTACTTTCTAAATTTTCAAAAGAGTTAATTTATAAACTAAAAGACTATCTAACCCTCATTTAATTGAACCAGTGAATAAATCTAACTCATATTAATAAAATACAATAGGACTTCGATAAGATAAAGTTCAAAAAAAATGATTTTTTTCGGCTTATTACGGTTTTTAAAATACTGAGATTTCGAGTTATCAGATTTCAGGGGAATAAATTTGACGTACAGAGTTTGAAGAATTTATTAGTCATTTTTATATTTACAAATCTTAGTCACAAGTAACTCATCGTCCCAATTGACAATTCTAAATGTAATTAAGTTATAAAAAATGTTGTTATTCAGTGCAATAATAAATGCAATAATATCAATCAATCAAAATAGTGACAGATAATTAATCTTCCTAGATTTATAGGAAAATCACAAATATTCATAATAAACTATAAATAATATCTTTAAGTTATCTATAATTTTTCTAAAATTATTTCCAAAATCCGTGAACCCTGGAGGCCGATTCCTGGATTCCCTTAATTTGGGCTTTATGATTTAATAACAGTTATAATTATTATTTGATTATTTTGGAAAAACAAAAAAAATAATTTAAATAAATAAAATAAAATTGATGCAAAATATGAAAAATCGAAAAGCCGCACTTAAAAATACAAAAACAATCCTATATCCTTCTGGGTTTTATAATAATAATTGATTAATAAGCTCTATTGTATTGCAAAATATAGTCCTTGTAAAATCTAATCTCTTCACTACTCACATTAATCTAGATAATTGGATTTCAATCAGTTTATCGCGTTTTAGACAAATCACACATCTTATTACAAGAGTATTATTGTATAAAAATGCATTTAGTTTTGAATGCAATCTTACAGAACTTTTGCGCTTAATTCATGTTTTAATCAGCTAAAATTATTTTATTTAATATCAGTCAGATTATTAGATTTATATTGTATGCTGTTAATAAATCAAATTCTGATGCGGCATTTTACATAACATATATTATATATTTTTTTAAAAACGATTTTGAGTAAAAAATGTAAAAACTTATTGAGTTATATATTTAGCAAGGTAATTAATTTTGCGCTAAAGCTTATTGGAACAACAAAAATATGAAAAATTAATTTAAGAATATTATTTTATACCATAATTTTCTTAATCTATTTTAGTAATTTATCTTTTTTTTATTAATGAATCTTTCTGGTGGTTGAAAATAATGTTCATCGTTAATTAATAAAACCATTAATTAAACACAATGTCACGTTTAACATTAATTCCATGATTATAGATTATGAGAAATAGTTTTTTTGTCTGAAAATAATATTATTTTATTAATGTTATAGTCACAAATTTAGTGACCGTAATATTTTTTTATGTTAGCTGTGCAATAAAATTAAAAACAATTATTTTCTTTTAATAAATTTCTAACCGAGTTTTCTTCGTAATATTATACAATGACAGGTCGTTTAAATTTTTTATAATTGGAAATGAAAATAAATGTCCTTAGCTCAAGTGAAATAAATTTAGTTGTTTCAGAAATTTAATAAATAAGTAAAGTGTACTAGAAATTATAACAATGCACCACAAGTAATTTCTTAAAATTATAATAATCAATTTTGTATTATTAAATGCTCCCTAGGAAGTAGCATCGAGTAAACTTTATTTACTGAAAGTATTTGAATTAGTATCTGAAAAAAAAAATGTACTTTCGTTTTAAAACACCGTAATCTTATTTTCAATGAAATCCACTCGTATATGAATTAAGGTTTCTGCCGCGGTTTAAATCTAAATGTGATTTACGATGAAATTCTCAATGTTAACTTTAAAATTTAATCATGAAAAAATTGTGTTTGTATAGCTGCAGTGTTTACCTAACATAAATCAATTAGCAACCCGTCTATTCTACGACGAATCACTTATACTTATTCTTATTATTATGTACTTATTATATATTTATGCTATTACTCGATAATCAACCCACACCTTATACTTATTATGAGTTATTCACATTCCTAGTTCAGTAGTGAACCCGGATAAAAATCGGAATTATTTAAAAAACTTAAACATTAACCATTGATCTTGTTTAAAGCGTGCCTATTAACTGTACCTCATTAAAATCGAATATTCATTAAAGCAGTATAAAAAAACTTCAATGCAGTGTTAGAGAAATCCAGATAAAAAATATATTATATTTATAAATATCTTAACCTCATCTAAGATGGGTTTTTCGTTATCTAGATAACAAGTATCCAGATATTTTACTAATGTAAGAAAAAAAAGATTTACAGCATTAATTAGAAATTAATGAGATTTTCTAAACATTATTTTATCAAATTTTGTGCACATTTACATAGTACATTATAAAAAAAACTATAAACCACTGGGGTGTTGTGAATGTCTTATGGTAATAAACCTCCACGTGTACATTTTTAATTATCATTCCTGTCATTTTTTGATAATATGTAAATAAAAATATACCATGAAATTCTTTGTATAATTACCAATTTCGTATACATATTCATTATTTTATTGTAATTATTGTCTCTATGATATTTATATACGAAATAGTTAGTCTTAAATAATAGTATTGCTAGTAATATAATATTAGAAAACAGATGATATTTATTTTTATTTTATCAAGACATTATAATTGTCACTACAAAGTGGCTATGTAATTTTATGAAAACACTAAACAAAAAAATTGACATTAGATCAATACGAGTTTAAATGACATCATCGTAATTTAAAAAGTTAAGTACAATCGAGATGCAGCGTAGAGAAATTGAGGCATTCTTTTAAATTAGTATTGATTGATATTTGACAATTATTAAAATCACTGCAAGTGAAACGTTTCGATGCGCATTTGGAATAAATTTTAAATTATATAGATGTTCGGTTGTTAAGTAAAATACTTTAAAATCAGCAATTTTTGCCGAAAATCATAATTTTTGGTTTTAATGTTTAATAACTCTTAGATATCAAGATTTCGAATAGTTTATCAAAGTAGATAGGCGATTTCTAAAATCTACTCTTATTCAATTATTGTACCATTCAGTTATTTTGTTATAATATCGTTATCCAGTAAGATTATCAAATTTTTATTTTTTAAATTATTTTTTCGAGGATAGCTTATCCTATACTAACTGTACTCTTGATGACTAAAATTTAAAATGTATTTCTTTTGTTTTAATTTCTTTGATATTTATTTGATGATAATGGGATTTATTTACAATACAATAGCCCTATTTTTTCATAAGTTAATGTTTATTTCATAAGAATATACAATTAAATTTCATTTAATTTTATAAACCATAGTTAATAATTAGTTTATTGTAAGGAAAAATTATTTTTAAGGATAGTTCTATGTAGTAATTTATGAAAGTTAATTAGAAATTTATTATAAAAGATAGTGTTGAACGACGTTCTATTTACCATGCCGTATAAATAAGAATTATTCTATGTTGCGTACATCTCTCACACATTAACTAAAAATTATATTAACTCATTCTTTAAGTTAATATAATTAATATAACTAATACAACACTCGTTATTAACCATTCAAAATTGTATTTAATCCATTCACCATTTATTAATAAAATATAAATTGTAGGTTCTCATTTAACTTTCAAAAGTTACCACTTAAATCTACCTGAAACAAATTTTTTTTCTTACAATAAACTTGAAATTTATTATGGTTTATAAAAATAAATCAAATCTTAATTTGTACAGTTTTATAAATAAAAAACATTATTTAATGAATAAATAGGGGATAGTATTCTTAATAAAACACACTGTAGATAAAAAAGATTAACATTTTTTTATGTATCTATTTTTTGCTATTTATTAAGTTTTAGTAAAGAATAAAAGCTTGATTAATTAGGATTAGTTTAGCAAAATTTGATTTTTTTATACTACACTGGTAATATAATTTAAGATATATGAATATTAGATTGTATAAAATACACGACCACACGTCTAAATATCTACCCGGCTAAAGCTACTCATTTAATTTTGCAAACGACAAGGGAATACTTCCATAGCGATTCGATTTGATGAAAACCACAAGGCCAACTCATTTATTAGTTTTGAAAATTATTTGTATTAATGTAAAGTTTAATGGTAGCTAGCATACTTGGATTTAAATGCTAACATGGCAGAGATTGGACCAAAATAATTTTAGACATTTTTTGGTCGAAAATTTAATTGGCTATAAGTGTCATGGACACACATAAAATATTACTATTGCATATACATCTTTTAATAAACTAACACTACTGAAAGAGATTTTGTTAGTAATTTCTGTGATAAGAGTTACAAAACAAAATTACCCGAACAATTAGATCAAAGTTAATCATCCTTTTACATGCTATAGTTAATAATTACCTCATATAGCCCGCGACAATATTTAAATATTATATTGGGACGCTCCAAATGAAATGTACTAATATTATTTCATCTCATAAATTTGTCAGACTCTGACAATGTCAGAGTATTCAAAAGTTTTCCAAACTTGTATTATTTGTTAAATTTCCTTTACAATTTATCTCAAATGTTAACAATTTTCATTGTTAATCAGTTAAAGTTCAATACATTGATGAGGGATATACCTTATGTTTACATTCTACAACCCCATAAAAATATTATTTTCAAAATTCATTTTATTCGAATACAAATGAATCGGAGAGTCGTTAATATGAAATAATAAACTATAAATAATAAAAATTTATTAATATTATTTTTAAGTCTTAATTTTAATGAAAATTTCGAATAAGTTTTTCTCAGAAAATTGCGACGGCGGCGTTAAAACTAGCCTCTTTTTAGATGCTTATAAAACATGTATTGGTTAAGTACATCCATGTTTCAATGTATTTTTATATATTACTGAAGATTAATTCAAAATTTATATCTTTATTAGATTCAATGCTAACTATTTTTTTTTATTTTAAATGAAATAATTATATATTATACAATTGGCAATGGTAAAACTTGCTGATACAAGTAATGAAAATTTAATTAAATTAATTTTTTTTAAGTATTCAAATATTTTTTATTCAACGGAATGTTAATTTTTAGCATAAACTATTGAAAAATCAATCGTAATTTTTTGTGCTAAGATAACTATATATATATATATATATATATATTTCATAAAGCAAATATATGAAATATTAGCTATAAAAAAGAGGTTGTCCAATATTTCAAACGGATCGAGGAAAAAATTTGATGGGCCTAGGGCTCTCATATTCCTAAATTTAGCCTTGGAGAGTAATACTACGAATATTCATTTAAACAGCTTTGATGTAATAAATAGGTGTCATGTGTAAGTGAGTGATAATTTTGTTATTCATTAGTTAAAAATATTAAGCTTATAAATTTACTTTGAACATGTAGTTTTTCAAATAATAAAAATAAGGAGCAACATTAAGTTTAAATCAAATCAAATAACATGTCTTTATTAGTATTAAATGGGTAAATATTATTTTTATTTTCGTTGATGAATATTTAAACAACTTTAACCAATTCTATATTAAAAATTAAAATAAACCTAATGCAAAATTAATAAAATTGAGTTTGAATTTCTAAAATAGTTTCCCCTATATTTGGTATATACATTTGGTTATACTTTTGATAATAAAATTTGATTTGGCATTGACATTATATCTGTACATTATATAAAACATTCTACAAAACATTTTTTAAGCATTTAAAATAACTCGTCTAAAATAAAATTTACTTCATGAGAGGTTTTATAAGTGAAATCTTGATTCATAAAAAAAATAAAGAAATAACTTTTTATTAGCTATAGTACAGTACGGAGATTTATTTGCTAATAATAAAACCGGGATGACGATTTCTACCAGTTATTATATTCATAAATAAAGACAAGCAATAGTTTATTTATTTAAAAATTAAATTTCTAAATTCTAAATAAAGTTATATCTTAATTCTTAATTTTTTTAAAAACTTATTTTTTGGTTTTCAAATTTTTGAGAAAAACAAAAGAGCACGTACGGTTTATACCAAAAAACTCAATAATGAGAAATATAATTGGAAAAATCTGACTCAAAAAAATTACGGAAATGTACACGAAATATTTATCTATTTGCATAGATTTAAGTATATGGTTTACATAAACCGACTGATCAATATTTTACATTTGTATTTGTATAAAATGTTTGAAGTTCAATGACATTGAAAATGGATCAAATATAATATTTATATTTTGGTCTTTTAGTTTCTGATTTTATACGACTCTTATTCTTCAAATTATATGATAATCATTCGTTATAGGAAACATGTAATTACATTTTAACAATTATGCTTCAAGGCCAACATAACTCAATATAAACATATTTAAGTTTTTTTTCCAACGAAAGACTTGGTCACGAAACTCCGGAAAAATTATTGGCGAAGGTTGGAAAAATTTTGCCGCTCGCCCACTAGCGTTTTAAATTTCGATCGTTTTCGAGAAAAGGGCTCGCTGACGCCGGCATTTTACGACTTAAGAAATTTTCATCAGACCCGCACAATAACATTTCTGAGATATCATAAAAAAAAGTAATTCAATCCGTTATTTCTGATTAGCCCTTGTACAGCTAGTCAACATTTATCTTTCTTTACTTGTATTATTTAATATTAAATATGTTTGTTTAGAACAACGAGTAATACTCGTTAAATTTTAACCAAAAAATTTTGTTGCATGGTTTTTAAATATTAATCAATAATGTAAAAAATTAGGAATTTAAACAACTTAAATGAGCTACAAAATTACTTAAAATTATAAAATAATTGAAATATATTGTAAGAGTATTTATAATATTAAGAATAAACATTTTTTGTCAATTGTTTCATACATAAAACAAAAAAAAAGTGAATTATTTGTGTTGTATTGTACAAAAATTTACATTTTTGATACTGTTTGAATTTAATTATGGAAAAAAAATTCGTAAAAAATACATAAATTTGACAAAATCAGTTAATTTAAATATTTTTTAAACCATAATAAATATAGTTTATTAAACGTACCTAGTAATATTATTAGACTGGTTTGACAGTCTTTAGTAATTTTATTTAATAATACAAAAACTATGAAATTAATATCGGTATAAAGATATTTATTAATTTAACGTTTAAAGTTCATTGACTAATAATTCATATTTTAAATTATTACACAATTTTGATTTAAAAAAAAAAATCAAATTATTCAACGAAGTAAATATTAGAAATACTATAATTTAATTAAATATTCAAAACGAAGGTTCATAAACTTTTATAAAATAATTTATGTTTTATTATTAGTCTAATAAACTTTTAAAACTTTGCAACAATATTTCCTAACGATTATTAATATTATGGTTACTTAAAAGTAATAAATATCATACATTTGGCGACCGTCATACCAATATTTTATTTGTTGTAACTATTTAAAAGACGTAAAAACCTCAATCCTTAAACGCAATAATGTAAATATAAAATAGTTTTTAAATAAATATAATATTTTAAGAGAACATGTGTTTTTAAATCATTTATTCCAATAGGGAATACTACTACTCCAAAAATATAACAGCCATAGACAGGAAGATTTAAAATTTTCTTAGTTATATCATGTTTAAAAATAATTCAATGCCTAAATTACTTAATTAAATCCTAGGTGGTAATAAAACAACAGTGTCATTGTTTTACTTGTATAAATATCACTTAGAATATATGGCAGATAACTTAATATTATTATCAACCGTTATGCATATAAATAATAGTAGAAATACTAATTAACTTTATTACATTTTTTAATGTAATCTAGATACACAAATAAGTCCTTGACATTTTCTATTATACTTGGTTTTATAAATAATTAATATAATAATTAGGTAATTAAATAATTATATTTTTGTTATGTAACAATATTAACAATATTGGTATTTTTAATAATTTTTCATGTCATGAAGATCTATTCTTTAAAAGAGAATATGCCAAACTTGTTAATAGAAGTCCTGAATGATTATTTCTGATTTATTCATAGCTCATTAATTTAATCAAACAGTTAAGTTAGAGTTTGATACAAAAATTTAGCGTTTATTTTAATACAATATTTATACAATTCAATTATAAAAATTCATTAGATTTACTTGCAATTTTGTAATGTTAGCTACTTTAGTGTTTTACAAAATAAAATCAATTTTATATAGAAAATACTTAAATTTGATTTTTGATCAATTCTGAAATCTTAAAATACATTGTAACATGTGAAAATGTTCACTTACTTGAGATATCATATTTTAACCCTTGTAGTTCAGCAAAACATGGTTGTATTGCCATACGACCTGCTTCTGTTGGTGGCCAACATAAGAGCGAGTCCGATGAAGCATTACATCCCGACCATTCCAAATTGTCGTTTAGTTTATATAAAGTACTGCACTTTAGGACAGCCTAGAAATTATAAATGTCTTACAAATATGATTTTAATTCTATTTTAAATCATATCATAAAAGTCTAGAGGTTTGTTAAAAGTCATAGTATTACAGCAGTATCCCAAATGAAGAAGTTTCTTATTACACGAGATTAACGTAATCGTATGAATTTCAATACTAAATTCTACCTATTTAAGTATGAGTTTTAGATACATAATGCTTGGTTCTGATATCAAATAATTAATCATTTTACAAGTGCAATTATAAAATGATCATAACAATGTGATTATTATTATGTTTACGACAAAATGTTTAAAATTATTGTGTCAATAATCGAACAACTGAATTGAAAATTAATAATATTAATTTTTCATTTCAAATAACACATTTATGTTATTTAAAATTAACCAATATTTTAATAACTTTTTACTTACATCTTGATTCGGTAACCATATATTATTTTCAATTTCCATGTCAACTTATCATACTGAATACATATAATAATTTTGACATTGCAATTTTGAAAATTTTCTGAAACATAAATTTGATTAAATTATATGAAAAGTTAATCTATAGTTTGTAAATTTATCGACAATGACCTTATGTACAGAACAAACTTTAAAGGACATATGTGTAGCTAGTTAGTTTAATTTGATATACACGATGTTATAACTTAACGCTCATGAATCCTTAATAAATAAATTGTATGAGAAATTACAAAAAGGATTGCTGTCGCGCCAGTGTTATTAACTAGTAAGTACCTAATTTCATTTTATACTGACTTCGTAATCTCATTATTGTGAGTACGTTTTTGTTCTTTTGAAGTAATTTGCAGAAACCCTGTAGTTTATAATAATCAATCTTAATTTTTGAAAGTTAGAAAATTATATACCCATATATTATTATTTTACTTCTAAAAATATTTACACCATTATGTTTTAACACTTCAAATTATAATTTAATGCTGTTACAAACAACATTTACATCAGTCGTTTATATATAAGTGTATATATTACTCTTTAAACAAATTTTATTTCAACTGAGATACTGTTAGCTACACAGGACATAATAAATTTTTTACACAAAAATATTACTTTTGAATTAATATACCACAAGTATAATAGGTAAATAGTAAAATGTATTAGGTATATTTGTTTCCTGAAATTATATTTATAAAAACTAAGATAATCCTAACACACCATCGGTGGTATGTTCGGATTAACTTAACAAAATTTATCTAATAATTAACACTAATATAATAAATACTAAATAATATACTTATTAGGCATCTAATAATTATTAGATGCTAATGAAAATTATAATTGGATGACAATGAAGATTAAGAAAAACAATTGAATCATATGTGGCCGCTTGTGGCTTGGACGACGGGACGATCGCACCCCCTACTAAAATTAAATAAAAGAAGAAAATTCATTGTATATTCATAATTCTACATTTTTATTAAAAATGCAAATTTTTAAATAGTAAAATAGTTATTATTCATTTGTCGTGTGCGAACATAAAAGTTGTTTCCCTCAGTATATGGCGGTACGCAAAACACACACGAGCAGAGTTTGGACGACCGGCTACGTCGTTCACAAGGTAAAATAATAGTATATTACTTTTCTTCTTCTTTTTCCTCGCCTTAATTACAACTACTTGGAGTCGGCCATTATTAATATATTACTATACTGGGTAATTTATTTTTAGAATTATCTGTTTGTCGTTATCGGTTGTTATAATAGTATAATGGCTATTATTATTATTTTCACTATAAATTACACGATTCCATGTTAACCCTATAAATACTTTTTTTCATTAATTAATAATATTATTTTGATAATAATAATATTTTATGTTGATAGTCCATTACACGATAATAATTCCATCTTTCCATGTATATATGACGTATTATTATATGATGAAATTTTGCAGTTAAGGAACATATATAAAATAAATTCAGACTTAAGATAATAAACGAATCGGAATTTTACTATTGGATAGAACTTATTAAGTTTTATCAAAGAGTTTATTATGAAATAATTCAACACTATTTTATTAATATATTAGTTTCATATTGCTTACTGTTATTGACAAACTATCTTAAATTTCAAAAGAACAGTGTATTTTTGATACAATCCTTTAAAGAAAGTTTCTAACATCCAATGAGATGGTTGTAAAACTTAATTTAAAACCTCGATAGAAAGAAGCTTTATTATTTCGTCTGTAAGCATCACACCAGATTACACTATGGCAATTATTTTCTAACTTTAAAACTCATCTATACAACATATCGATTTAACTACGATTTATGAGTTCATTGCATCCATTACGCTTTTTTGTATCTTATTAGATAACGCCAATCTGATAAAATCAAGGTGAGGGAAAAAATCTTTTTTTTTTCAAATAAAAGGAATGGAATAGCTTTTTAGCAATTTTTGAATTTGTAGGATATGTTAATAGTATAATTTCTTTTATTTATTTTTAATATTAAAAAATTCTGAAAAATAAAAATTATTAAAAACTTTTTTTAATTTTTTAAAATTTTCGAATAGCCAATTTTTAGAAATTTTATTACAAACATTTTAATGAGTGGGTATGGCCAAGTGTGGATACAGCTCGTACTAGTATGAGATACACCCACCCTAGTGTATTTAAAATGCTTACTCTTCCCGCATATATATATAGACATTTATTATCAAGTTTCATTTTAGATAAATCACAATTTTTTTAAACAACTAATATTTTGGAGAATCGCATATTTTTCACAAAGTACATAATTACCCATAATTCTTAATATTTTAATAATATATTTAAATAGTGATTCTTGTCTAAGATCGAACTTTCAGTTACAAAAAATGTATTTAGGGACATGCATTATATATGGCTCCATAAAATATGAATTAGAAAATGTCCAAGGGTCGACCACCTCCATCGCCCTTTAAATATATTACTAGATTTTAATAAATTTATTAATAGTTAAAATGCCTTTTCTGTAATTATAACATATCAAAATCAAGAAGTGATTCGAAAATAATAGTTAGCAATAAGTGATGAATTTAGTAAATTTTTCATTTTATTTATGTTGTACAAAGAGTCTCTATAATCTCAATATTATTATTTTTTATTGTGTTGCAACAAAATTTTGTTCAATTGAATTCTCTAGAACATATTAACTTAATATTTAGCAAACTAAAAATTTAATTGAAATAGTTGATCATATACAAATAATTTCTTAAATAATTTATTTAAGATTTTTTTTACATTTTAAAATACAAACATGCAAAATTAAATTTGATTTTATGCATTTATAAAAAATAACTTCATGATTTTTAATATTTTTTTTACTTCGAATAAGATTTAATAACTTATAAAAAATATACAGAAGATTTCTTTTGTCGGAAAGTTTACAATGGTTTAAAAAGTATTGTTGAAACTTTAGTATTCTTTTCAAAGCATTGAAACGAATGTGTTTAACAAGGTATTAAGCGAACACAACACCTTACTCAACAAGTATTTCTTCTCAACAGGCAAATTGTGTACAATATTTAAACAAGATATGTATAATTTATCTACTGAGATAATTTTTCTGGTTTTCTTATACCAATATTTTTACAATATAATGACAAATAAAACTTTAAGTACGAGATCTGTTACAAATAATGTTTATTTTATAAAAAAAAAAAAAAGAAGGAATTTCATAAGATTTCTCCTTGTGAACAAAGACTCGCAATTAAAAATATTTCCTTGTATCTTAATAATTCATGTATTTTACTAACTTTTCTACTTTAGGTTATTAGAATCTTCAAGAAAATTATAATTACAGTTTTATTAAAGTTCATAATATTATGAGTATTCTTAGAGGATGTAATAAATTATTTTATGGCATTCTTAATAAAAGAAATGAAATAGTTATTTTTATCATTTTACCTAGTAATAAATAAATATTATAATAAATATATAATAAATAAAAAATAAATAAATATTGCTGTTTTATTAATTCTAGTAAAACTTAAGTAGCTAAGTATTAAAAACCAAAATATTATTTTTTGTCTTAAACAATATTTTATCTAAATCAATGATATATATGATATAAATGTTTTTTTCTCTATCAATTAACAAAAATCAAATTATTTCTCGCATAACGGCAATAATTTTATAATTACTCAGTGATTTCTAACAATATTTGCAGTACTTCAACACTGTATGGGATCCAATTAAGTTCTATTATCATTTTTTTAAACTAATTATTGCAGTTAATGTAGACAACAACGAAATATTCAAAACGAATTTATTTCTTAGAAAAACTGAGTATTAAATAACTATTTTCAATTTCCTTGTACTATCATAAAACATATAAACTTTTTAAATTTTTATTTCAGGGTAATAGATTAAAGTTAAGATTGAATTTACCATTACAATTTTATCTAAATTCAACTTCATTACAAATAGAAAACAAGTAACGAGGAAAATAAGAACAAAAATGATTATCATCAGACCGAAATGTGTGCAAAAGAACGTAGAGAATTCTGGTAAATTGATAATTTCAACAGGTCGAGACGTGTCATATATATAAAATTCTGTCACCACCGTTCATTGCTAACTACTACACGAACAAATCACTTTTCGAGTGACAGAGCTATTATAACTAAACGCATAACATTTTAACACTTTAATAATTTATAGAGACACTGTACGAGCTCAAGGTAATCTACAGAATTATTAAATATCACTTCGAAATTTTTAAATTATGTATAGTGGAGAAAATGTATTATAGCATAAAAGTTTATATTTTTAAAATTATAAGAAGTACGTGTCAAGTAACTAAATTTTCAATGTAATTACTAATTCCTTGAAATTTAAATTTAGGACTTGTAATATCTGTAAAAGCATATTTGGGTTTTATTACTCTCACTATTTTAAAGTTATTATTTATGTTATGCATTTATATAAGATCGAACAAAAAAAGAAAACTGCTTAACTTGCTTGTAATTTTTATCTTTTAGGTGGCAGTACGGTTTTTTTAATATTTTATTATAAACGCTGATTGAGAACATGATTAGCTTACAAATAGAAGTAATTTATTTTTGATACTTAAAAATAGGTTGACCTTTAAGTAACCATTTTAAAATTAGGGATTTCAATTAGATCTATTAGGTACTTGCTTTAGTATGGATTAATCTATGTATATAAATTGTGAAATTTTATATTAACTTACGCACAATATATAATATTATTTTTAAAGAAATTGTAGCGAAGAATATTAGCAAATATACACATTGTCTCACCATGTCCTGACATATCCTACAAGTCCTATACAAAATAATAAGATGAGTAATGGATCGATATTACGACGAAATATTTTTACTTCAATAATAAGTGCTCACTCAAGCGTGAATAATTTACATGGGAAAAATCTTATACATTATATAAGGTGATTCTTTTAACACTAGCCACTGGATTTCTTTTAAATAATAATTATGTTAAGAAAATTTTAAGTTTTATTTATTTTATGATTTATAAGTTATTGATTACTTTTTTATCCATCCCTAACTTCTTATAAGGGTGTCAACTTTAATTTTAGATATTCAGTAAATCAAAAGTTATAAGATTTGTAAGAACTGGATTGTATTTTTATTTTTTAATCGTTCGATGATTTCCCATGGAGATGAATCGAAGATATTTAAGGGAGCAAGGTATAAATATTTAAAAGGCCACAATTAGTTGATTGTATTTTCCTCTTATTTAATTTAATAATGACACAACGTTTATAAATTATTATTGCTGATGAACACCTGGTATTACTTTGTTTTTACTTGAAGAACATTAGCAATTTAATGAAACCTTTTAAATCATGAGTACGACTTAAACAAAAGTTTTATTTGGGTAATTTTAATTTGAAAAGTTTCAGTATTTATTATTTTACTCTGATACAATCTACAAAATGTGTGGTTGATATTACAAGAAAAGTTTTCGGCTCAACATTAACACATAGTTATATGATACCTACTTTTTTTTTCAAAATAATATGAAACATATTTTAATTAAATATTAAATATTTTTTTGTATACGACAATAAATTTTACATTGTCGGTAAGAATTCAAATAGTGTATATTTCAATCAAATACATTGTATCATTAAAATATGTACGCCTAACAAAATACTAAACCTTTTATAATATACCGTCTCACTGAATGTTCATTTAAATTTCAGCCAATCGTTATAGAAGCACTATAATATGTATTCTTTAATACTAAAATAACAGAAGTGTTATATAAAAATATCCATCAATATATACCATACATATCAGATACACCTATCGAATTTTAAAAGCAGAAAGCTTTTAAAATTCGTATCAAAAACATAATAGTAAGGTTATGATAAAATATAGTTTATGTGACACCTTAAATATGAAATTGTATTGCTATATAGGTCACCAAACTACCCGCTACTGTGATTTACATTTCAAGGACAGTATATATTTCATTTGATTCACTTGAATATTAACTTTTATAAAGCAATAAAAGATATTAATTCAATATGTAACACATACGGTTGCAATCGTCATATAAAACGCAATTACAATTGAGGACAATAGAATGATCAAGTACAAATGGCATTATTAATAAGTTTCAGACGTTCATAGGTCACATTCTCTGATCAAAAAAATCTTACTACTTTTGAAATCTGTTCGATTACACATTTTCTTAATAATTAGGTAAACTAATTTTATACTTGACATTATAAAATTAAAAATAATATCTGTTGACTAATTTCGTTTTGATGTCATATTGAAGTACATAAATAATAATTCAAAGAGCTTTTGCCATAAAATGTATTTTTTATAATTAATATTACATTTTAAAAATTAAAAAAAAATTAGTTCTAATACTATATTGATTTAATTGGACTTCCAAGAGCATATAACTTGCTTTGCTTGAAATGTTTACGGATGTCCACGTTTTCAGTTATGAGCTGACCGTTTTTGGACTTTACAACAAGTCCGGAACGTTAAGCATTACGACAATCCATGAAAGCTTCAACATATAATTTGTTACTTCTCTCCCGAAAAACACTCGAGTTTATCTTAATTATGTTATTTTTGCGAAAACACAAATATATATTACATTGTATAATAAATAAGATGTTGCTTTTGAAAGAGTTTTCCTTACAATGCAATTACATAATGCTGAATTTTATATAATAATTTTTATAAATTAAATAATAAGTTAAGATTTTACAAGATCATAATATAAAATTGTATATTATTTGAAATATTGTCATTTTAATAATTTCTTTTAAATCAAACTGATTTCAAAAAAAAAATAATAATAATCGTTTATAAAATCCCAAATTTTAATTGAAAAATTGAATATTATACATTAAATTAATATTTTTATTTAATTAACTATAGTTATTTTTATTAAATAAATAGATATCATAATGTATCACTCCAATAAAAACAGTTTTATGCTGAAGGAAAATGGAATTATTTCATTAACTGGTTATCGAAAAAATAATTATTGGATTGAATAAAATTTAATTCGATATTTTTTTACGTTTTCTATTATTTTTTTAGGTGAATGAAAGTGAATTTTTGCTAAAACAGTGCTTTTATTTTAACTCGAAATAATGACTTTATAATATCATTATGAAATTATTTTCACTGAAAGTTTTATCCTCTATGAATGTATTTTAACCAATCAAAAGTTACACAAAACTTAAAAAATGTTCTACTATAATAAATGAAACGACAGTAAATAAAACTTTTTATAGTTTACCGCGTTAGTTAACTGATTTTTAATGATAATATAAATATGAAAACGTTAATTTTATATTTCTTAATTGCAAAGTGAAAAAAAAACTACAACATTACTATAGGAGTTAATGACGATAGCAAAACGTAAATAAATCAATTATCATAAAGACTATATTTATTCACAACATGTATGTATGAAAATAACGTAATAACATTTGATAATTATCTTGTATTAACAAGTGCACATGTTTTAAAAAATATTATTGTATTCTTAACATCATCAAATACAGACATTCTAATTAAAAAAAAAAGACAGTTGTCGGACAATAATTCCTATAATGTCTCTTGCTATTATAATTTTAACAGTGCAAAAAATACAAAATTTCAAAACTTGTATATCGATTAAACATAAAAAAGTAATTAATTACTTAAAAAATCATTATAGTTTGATTTAAGCGTTAGTTAATTAAAATAGTTTTAAGTAGAATATTTTTTATTGAGTTTTAAACTTGGCAAAAAATTCAATGTAAGAAGATGTTTGCTGAAGACATACAAAAACAAAAACCCCTCCAACCTAAAAACTGTTTATCTATTTCTATACTGACATTATTTTTTTATGAATGAAACAAAAATAATTTATGAGAAATTGGCTGTCGACCAAGTAATAATAAATTCTTCATTAGTTCATTACATATTTTCTATTAAAATAATTGTTTTTAAACTAGGTATAATGTGTCAGATATAGCTGCGGCTTACATTTAAATTATTAATAGTTTTTTATTATTGGATGAAGCCAAAATTACTATAACTTTTGGTTAGACAGACTAGCCTAATTTAAAAATCTAATCGGGTGTCCAAAAGTTGTTGTTTTAGTTGTCATTAAGGTCATTTTACTAATGATTCAACAATTTATAAATACTCCGCAGTTTAATATTTTATTGAACTAACGAGGAATCAATAAAAAAAAAATCGTCAAGAATAACATTACAGTAACTCAACACATTAAATTATGTGAAATAACCATGAGTAATTTAAATGATTACTGTTGAAAAGGTTTTCCTTATAACGTCATCAATATCATTACTGATACTTATGTAAGCCTTTGAAAAATGTTTTAATTAAAAATACTACAAAAATAATAGTCAAACTATTAGCAAAAAACACCATTGTTTAAAATATTTTTCGAAATTTTTTTTTTTTTATATTATTGTGTTAACATAAGTTTAAATAGGATTAATATGATTTTCAGTGTTACTGTTCACAATTATTATGACATTTCTTTCGAATTTTATTTACAATTGTGTAATGGATACACTTTGATTTATTTAAGTTAATTAAACTTAACGTACAAACTAATTTACGAGCATGAGACATGAGTTAGAGATGTCAATAATTTTTAACGTAAAAAGTCGTAGTGTGTTAAGGCAAAAGCTTGTTATTAATTAAACAAAATAAAATGCTCACATATATTTTCACAAGAAGTACAAAGGCATAGTTTTAAATCCAATATTCAACTCGCACAACCCGTTCACCTTAACACTGTCGCGCACATCTTCACGATCGCTTTCCGTCAATCAACACAACAATTGTATTTATGATAATTATTTAATGACAACGATCGAAGTTTAAGAAAAGGCGAACAAAAACGAATTTGAAAAAGATTTAACCAAAAGCTCGGCAAATGCGTAAACGCCTAGCTCGGACGCCTTCTATGACAAAATTAAACCCCAGATGACCATGACAGTGCTTTAGGTGAGTACAACGTGCCGCCAACAGTTCCCCCGTAACATTCCTACTGTGAGCCTCTACATGAACATGAGTTGCCAGCAACACGTTACCCGCTCGCCATTTGCTACCGCTTTGCACCGGTTTTGGCTGGTTCAAGTTCAGCGGGGTCGGCCCATCCAATTAATTCAAACGAGTATTTTAGTTATTTTTTCGGAATGCAACGTTGTGTTGGAAATCCATATGACAGTGACTATTTATTAGTAAAACTAATTTAACTTTATGCACTCTCATATTTGAAATGTATATGACAAAATAACACATTTTTCAATATATTATTACAATTAGCAAGTTTACTCGAACTATTTAGGTTGGTAACGTGCAATAATAAAATACAACTATGCTATTCAACTCATATTTATTCATATATCAAAATAATCCATTGTGATATTTCTTATTATTCAACTTAAAAGCTATATATACATCCATCACACAACACAAAACATTAGAGTGTTACTTGAATTTTATTAGTTTCTGATCAATTTCATATTTATTATTTAAATTAATGCACGGAAATACTCATCATATTTTTAAAATTATAATTAAATAATATTTTCAGTTGTTTTATAACTCTCGTGTTGAATTATCAAAAACATTCGATACTTTATTACGTCGTTATTCATATTATTATAAATTTAATTATTTTCCTAAATAAAGGACAACTAAAAGAGTACCCTTATTTTCCTAGGATATTTAAAAAAAATTAGAGTAATAGCTTTGTATATAAATTTAAATATATAAGTGTAAACATGGATTAAAGGATAAAATGTTGTTATTAAAAACAGTTTATACATTTGATTGACAACCTTTCATTAAATATTTCAGATAATCGTAAAATATTCCTGTCAAATTATTATAATTTAATCGGAAAATCTAACGCAAAAAAATAGTAAATGTATTTATATATTTTTTAATAAACATAAATTATGTTTAGTCCTGTAAATACGTTTCAAAATTAAAATGATTAAACGATTGAGAGACCACAATATGTAGAAAAAACAATTAAACTACTTGCTTATGGTAAAAATATTGTAATGTATGCTACATCAGACAAATGATGTTTATTTTATACTGCTAAGTTAGAGTGTATAAATTAACAAATAATTAAAGAAGTTTAATTTCTTAGGTGTTAAGACAAAAAATAACTATATTATGATATCAGAGACGTAATAAAATTAAAAATAAATGTATAAATGTTTACGAATTATCACAACTGGGTTATATAAGAATATTTATTTTTTTTAATATGCAAAGTTATACTAACACTTGTAATATATAAAAACATAGTATACAGTAACTCATAAAAAATCTGTTAGAAAACAGAGAAGAAAACTAAAACAATACTGAAGTCAGTTGTTTTGTTGAAAGAATACTTTTTAAAAGTACTTAGAAAAGAAAAGTCGACAATTGAATATTTTAAATTTTCTTTGCTGCGAAAGATCTTAAAACGAGGCTAATGTAGTTAATTTTATCTACTAATCAATTTAACACAAGACACTTCTGTATTATATAAAAATTTTAAAAAAATTATATTACTTTTAAATTAATTTATTAAATTAAAATTATTTAAAAATTATTGTTTGTCTTAATAATAAATGTTAAAAAACTAACATTTAAATGGAAATATAAGTACAATATATTAATAATAAGTACACGATCTACAATTGTTATAAATAATATCTTTTGTAATATTCTGTGTCATATAGAACTTGATTATATTCCAAAAACAACTTTTAAAAGTCAAATTTTTTTTTTTTTTTTTACTAATATTAGAATTATTTTTTGAGTTATTATAAACGACTAGTTTATTAGTAAAATGCCAGGGTGTTTGCATTTTCAATCACATTGAATTTAACCTTGATTGTTCAGATAGATTAGAATATAAGTAAAAAAGTTTTCAAATCATAAATTCAAGTTAACTTATGAGTTCCATTGTGAACATTTTATCGTAAAGTTCAGATTTGAGTTTGTCGAATCGAGATCACAAAATTATTATAATTCATAATATCTTATATGAATATTTTACTGTTGAAAATCTATCTTTTTTTTTGAAAAGTAATATTACCAATAAGGTAAAGATAAAAAGTTTCGATTCGAAAGTGTCAAAGTCCATATTTAAAGCAACTAGTCTATTTAATTTCAAAACAAAAATTTAATAAATAAATTACAAAAAAAAAAATATATTAATGAATATGCCATTTTTTATCTATTCTAGATAAAGCTGGAATTATATTTTATTTTATTCATTGTTTCGATTTTATCGAATTAATAATTTTAGATATTTTTTAGTTTAGGTATAATTGTAAGAGACAATTGTTGAAAAAGCCAATCTGTACTTTCTTTAATATTTGATAAACATAAACCAGACTAAACAAATTATTAATTAATACTTGGTATCCTTGAATGAGCAGAAGGATTTTAATAAACTATATACAAATATATTTAACAACAGAGTGGTACAATCATACAAATTACATGTTTTATGGATAAAAACGATTTATCATAGGAAACTTGGTACAAATATAAAGTTTGAGTAGACTAAACTAATTAGATTTTAACAACTTATAATGTATTAAATTTATTAAATAATAAATAGATCTTATTGTATTAGGTTAATTTTGTGATGGCTTATACATATGAGCAAGTTAATGTTGAAATAAAATTTAAATTAGGCGCCTATAGATAACCTAATATTTTTTAAATGAAATTACTTTTAATTAAAAAAAATATATATATTATTATATTATATTATATTATTATTATAAAAAATATTATTTTTTTTTAAATCAAAAATTATTGATTATCTAATATCTTTTTATTATTGTATATTATTATTTATTTATGTTACTCATAGTAACATTAATATATTCATAGCAAAAATAACAATAAACTATAAAATAGCGATCTATATAAAGTATAAATTAATTTATTAACTTCGATAGTTTAGAACTTTTTTAGTCGAGATTAGTTATATAGTTATTTTGCAATATTTCTCATGTATTTTATTATTACACGATGATTAATTTTAATAAATAATAAGAAATCTATACTAAATTTTATTCAAATATTTATACTAAATTCTGTGGGGTTAAATGTTTTTTAAGATGAAAACTAATATTCTTGAAACAAATACATTCACTTTATTTATTATGTTTTTTATTGTATTAAGAAAATACTTAAAAGTTATGAACATTTTACAAAATATAATTGTATGAAAGTAATTGATATCAATAATATATTGTTAGAACTATGATATAAAATTTTTTAAGTAATTTTCTTTCTATTTATATTTTTTTGATAAAAAAGAAAATGTAAAATTATTTTTGAATGAACGTATATTATATACATAAGCGAAATAATGAAATCATTCAAATATTTTGATACTCTTTTTTGTCCCCGTGCTGCTGCTTTTAACAATGTTAAAAAAATAAGTTCTGAAAACAATTATTTTTATGAAGTATTTTACAAATTATCATATTTCTTGTAAATATTTTAATGATTCTATTTTAACTCCAACATAATTTTTTATTTAAATTACTAATAACTTACAAGTTGTTGTAAGTAGATAAATTTCGAATAATGATGTTGAACATTTTTTTAATAAAGCTTTTGTTACGATAGAGATTAAAATCGAGAGTTAAATATGTTTAACAATAATTTCCCATTGATTTTGTAAAAATTTAAAAAATTCTATTCGTGTCACGTGTATCTCTACGACAGCAAATTCTAGTACCGGATATTGCTTTTCTGGACTTATTGCTGTTGCTTACTTTTTTATGACAATCCGTTGACGTTTATTGATATTCTATCAAACAGATTCTATACAGAAAACACTTAAATTTAAAACTCCTTTCTTATAGAGTTCATTGTTTCTGAAAAATAATTTTACAGTCAATATAATGTCACAGCTGTCACTTATTCTTTTAAACGCTTAAAATAGATAAAATTAAACATTTATTAAATATATATACCAATGAACTTTTGGATTTCTAACTAAGATTATTAATCAATATAAACTATAACTATTTTATGTTTTTTGCAATTTGTAGCTAATATTAACATACTAGTATTATTATTTCAAAATATCAATAATTTCTAAAAATTGATCAAGTTGATTTAATTTTAATATGAATGTTGTAATACTGCATAATATATAATGCATGGAAATTGAAGTTTTATTTTAATTAAGAAACAGTAAGTATTAAAAGCTTATGTTTTTTATGTATCGTGATTTTTTTAATTCTATCGAATATTTTTTAATTTTGTATAACAGTTTTCAAACATTAAAAAAAAAAAATCGAAAAAACATATTCCTTTTAAACTTTTTTTTTTCATTTTTACTAAAATGCAGTAAAAAAAATTTATGTGATTAGCCTTAAAGCAAATTCAAAATGGCATTATGCTGTAAAAGAGCTATAAATTGTTTTTGTCATGGAATAGACAAAGCTTTTTACAATGAAAACCTGTAAAGAGTGACGTTTAACGAAAAATGGAACTATATGTCAACGTGCTTGTGAGTGACACCTCGAATTATATCTTTTGAAATGAGATTCAAAAACAATGTAATAACTTTACTAAGCTTTGACGAGTTCCCTGAGACGAACTTAAGGTCCAGTTGTTCTATACAAAGACTACAATTGATAGATATATAAATGTTATACAGTAAGTAAAATATAATTTTCAATTTAAATGTCAAGATAGACTATTGAATAAAGTGTTATACATCATAAATATATTAAAAATACAGGTGGTCCACGATGTTTTGGCAAATATAATAACTTTTGATTTACTGATTATGTACATTTTATTTATATTATTATTATTATTATTTAGAACAATAAAAAAGTTACACAACTTTTTTAATGAAAAATATAATCATTTCAATTACAGATGCTCACTTAAACAATAATGATTTTATAAAAAATATTCGATTATTCTAACCTGTACTTAACCTGAAAATATGCTTTATTTTTATACTTTTTTTATT